CTGCCTTCCTACCTAAAGGCAAATGGGTCTTGACTCTCAAGGGTTATATCTATGCTAGAGAAGATATTAACAAGGTCTAGTATACAATGGTATATTCACAACTGAGTACTAAACTCTTCCAGAGCTTAGTAATTTTTCAGGATTACTTTATGCAAAATCAATGTGCTTCTACCTCCCGTGTCCACCAATGCTTTTATTCTCTGAATATTTTTTGAAAACCAGTCTGTTGCCAGTTCTATACACAGCCTCCTGTCTGGAGACATGGCTCAGACCCTTGTTTCTCAACCTCCCCTCTAGTCATTCCACAACCAAGGGCTGAAAGACTCAGGGGAAACCATGGGCTTTGCTTTTATTATGTCTCCTACTAAGAGAAGTTTGTCTTTACCTCCTTTTTGAGTAGGAGTCCATTCTACATTTCTCACTGTTATCTCTTTCTTTTCCTTTCTTGGGGAGTAAGGGCTTAAGTCTTTTGTCCTTAGGTGATTGCTTTCATGCTTGTACCAGAGTAGCATTAGGTTATTTATGTATTTTACTTTCATCTACACCTGCTACAAATAAGTCCATCTATATCTGTTTATGGGAGACTTGAAAATGCCTTTCCAGTTTGTGCTGGGTTTTAGACTCCTGTTTTCTGCTGTGTTATTTCCATATCTGCTATAATTTGCACTTCTCACTGGAGGTGCTGCCCTGCCAATGTGGATAATATTAACACCAGGGCACCCTAATTGGATGGATGGACTGAGTTGTAAATAGCACTACATCCCTCATTTTGGCAGTAGAAGTCATGCATGCAAATAGCATATTTCATCCCCAGTTCCTGAAAATAGGCCTGTAATTCTTCTATAGAGGTTGCCTCTGGGCACGGGAATATCTCCTGAATTCTGTCACATATTGTAAGCGGTGAGAAGCAGCCAAAGCTACTTTCCCCTCGCTGCACTGGCGTGAAGGCACTGTTATAAAGTAGGGTGAGCAGTTACTGAAGCCATCTTAGACGATTCTGTAACATTCAACATTATCACAACTGCCTCAGTGTCCCACAGGTGGAGCAGCCATGGCAGTAAACTTCCTTTCATTTTCTACCTAAACTTGGACCCCAGCTCCATCAGCTCTGCTGAGATAAATGGTCTCATGGTGATTCTAAATATCTCTCTGGAGCAGTGAGCAGAATTGGATCAGTCCCCTCAGTCACTCCTCCTGAGTCTTTAATTTTGGACCATTACTGGTCTAGCTTCCATTGTAGTTTTGTCCTCGGCCTCCACCTGTGATACACAGGAGCTAGTTGACACTGAATGGGTCCCGCATCTGAGAGTTTTGCTAGGATTTCTACGTAAATTTTCCTGTTCAAGTACGAAGTTTTATCTTTTCACTTTCAGATTTTACTCACCTCAGACTTAAAATTTTCTTATGGTATCAACAAGCAACCCTCAAACTATACTGAACTATAGTTAAATGAGTATTCTTTAGTCCTTATTTTCCAAATCTTATCAGATTTCTTCATTGAGTATAATGCTTGCTGTACACTTTTAATATGTAGTCTTTATCTAGTTTTGATAATAAAATAGGTGGTAAACTTTATCAAATAAATTTTTCTTAATCTTTGAAAATGAAATATGTGATTTTTCAATTCAGAACTTTTGCTTAGTGAGATTAAGTGAAAAATGTTGAGCTTTATTTGCTTATCTGATAAAAGTACCACTTAATCACAATATAGTTAAAAATATGATTTAATTTTTTTGAATATTTTTGTTTGAATTTTTCTTAAAATTGTTATAGCTGTTGCTTCTTGGCATTTTTACTAAAGTCAAATGTACAATCTTTTCTTATCAGTTTAATTTCTGATACATTCTCTACTTGAGGAAGACATGTTAAATGGATTTTTGGAACAGGAAGAAGGAACAGGGACTTATTCCATCCATTCTATACACTGATCTACTTGAAGGGATCAGTGCACCCTTTCAAACAATTGTCACATCTATGTTTATAAGCAAAATAGATTTATTATTTTTCATTCTTTTCCTTTCTCAGATCATTGGCCCACAAAAAGAACCGGTAAATTTTCTAGTTTTTCAATTCTAGAGTTACTTTTGTTAAATATCTGATTATTGCTTTCATCCCCCAGTTTGTCTGCATGTACAAATATGTAAAAAATTATACTATTATGTAAAAATATAATGCACTACTTTAAAAATCTCTGAGAAGTCTTGTGATAAAGGATATTGTCTGATTGTTGAAAATTTTATAAACTCACCTGTTAAAATATTTGTACTTTGGACTAATTTTTCTGGTGAATTTTCTTCTCTTTATTTACTTTTTATTTTCTGTCACATATTTTATTTCTGCTTACACATGTTGTATGTTTATTAGTATGTATTTTTAATATTCTTTTATTATTTTCATACTCTCTGATGTCTAAAAGACATTTCCTTTTTTTTCCTGTATTTTACTTATTTTCATCTAGTCTAGTTTCTTGAACAATATTGCCAGAGGCTCATCTAACCTTCTTTTTTAAATAATCAGTTTATGATTTAGTTGATGTTTCATGGATTTCTGCTCTTTATTATTCTCCAACCCCTTTGAACTTCTTTGGTTGTTCTTTAGTCAATGATTTGAAGTTAACGCTTGAATCATTTGTTTACTTTGATCATTATACTTTTATTATTACCAGTAATAAAGTTTATTCTTTATCATTTAGTCTTTTTTTTTAGGGAATTCTTCTTTGTTTCTTCTTAAAATTATAGTTCTGGCTTTCCTATGGTTCATGACATGCCCATTAGGTATTTTTCCTTCTCTTTATTTTCAATCTTACATTTCACTTTTTTTTAGAGAGAGAGAGAGGAGAGAGAGAGAGAGAGAGAGAGAGAATTTTAATTTTTTTTTTTAAATTTTTGGCGGACACAACATCTTTATTTGTATGTGGTGCTAAGGATCAAACCTGGGCCACACGCATGCCAGGCAAGCGTGCTGCCGCTTGAGCCACATCCCCAGCCCCACATTTCACTTCTTAAACAATTTGCTATATTTGATTTTCTAACCTAATATTGGTGAATTTAACACATTTATATTTATTATAATTATTCTGGTAGAACTCTGTTTGCACTTTTTTTTCTTCCCTTTGTACAGATTGGATTTCTTCCTGCTGTTTTGAAAGTTATATTGTGTGTATGTGTGTGTGTGTGTGTGTGTGTGTGTGTGTACAGGGAATTGAACCCAGAGTTTCATACATGCTAATCACATGCTCTACTACAGAGCCCTGAAAGTTATACTTTTCAAATAGTTGACTGGAATATTGAGATTATTAACAACATTTATTCTTTGCGTATCAATTTTAAAACTTTTAGTTATTAATATCTACTCTCTAGTAAAACAAGTACTTTATTATGCATTCATGATTTATTTGTTTCTATTCTTCTGCCATCTTTTGCCAAGATCATATTATGGAATTTAACACCTGGATTTTTTAATAGACATATTTATATCTGTTACCTATTATTATGGAATCCTCTAAAGTGATGGTGAAGGGATGTATCATCTACTTTAGTTTGTCATTTTAAAATAAAAGTTTAAATTTCTATCAGCATTTTTTCTATAACTTATATTCTAATTTTTTTGTTATTGCTAGACTCTAGAAATTGATATTCTTATCAAAGTCAAGAAATAATAAAATTTGGAGAACAGTTTAAACTGCTTATAATTTATGAATTCTCAGAGTTCTATGTTTTTGTGAGATCACAGGGCATATGTTAAAAACAGAAAAGAAAGAAAACTTCCTCAATAAAATTTAAATATTTTATTTAATTTTTGTATTTTTTAAAAATAAATTAGGTGACCACGATAAGTCTGTTGGATTTTATTCTCTTTGAATAAAATTTCTAAATAAAATTATTGATGTTATTTAAATAACTTCTCCATCGGATAGATGGTCTTTTGATCAATGGCATTTCACTTTTTAAGATTGTAGAATTATTCTATCTAATATACTATCTGTATCAAGAAAATACCAATGAAATGTAGTTTTTGTTAAAAATATACTCTGTGAAGAAAGCGGCATTAATATTTTTCAACTTTGAGTTAATCAGAAAAGGAAAGGTAGAACAGGGAAGTTCTTAAAGTGAACTTTTTGAGCATATAGCCATGCTGATGCAGAAGTGTTTGAGACATCAAAAATACTTTTGCAGTATAATTTTCATTTACACTCCAATGTTGTCTGGAGTGTAAATTTCCACATATGGGAATTCCAGACAACAATAAAAAGCAAGGAAAATTTTTTCAGAAAATGGAGAAATCTCTGTTCAACTCTTGAAATTATGTCAAATCACTTAAAATAGTTTTGCTTTGGAATTTTAAAAATCACTTTATTTGGAAAGTTTTTATTATTGCTTTTCTTTTTTCTTATACTTACTCACATAAGTTACATTTCCTTTATCTGAAATTTCCTCCATCTTATTAATGCAGATAATTTGAAAAAGCTAGGTATGTGCTGTTTTTGCTTTCAGCTAAAGGTTTAACCTTTCAGATCAAGAACTACTACTGTCAATATAAAGATACTGGGATAAAAATGGATTGAAATGAAATATATTCTTCTGAGAGAGAATAAGAAAGTTAGGTATGATGGCACAGACTTGCAATCCAAGCTACTCAGAAGCTTTTGAAGCAGGAGGATTTTAAGTTCAAATATAGCCTGGGCAACATGGTGAGAACCTGTCTCAATAAAAAAGGACCAGGAATGTAGCTCACTGATAGAGCACCTCTGGATTCATTTCTAGTGTCCCTGCACACACCTGACTGAGCAAAAAGTGATGGGTAAAATTCTAGGGATCAGAAATTGGGCTCCTATTTGGGTACAAGCAGAATAATCAGACCCTAAGTAACCAAGGCCTGATCATGGAAGTACATTTTTCAAATATTCAGTGTTTGTTAATAGCATGCATAATCTTTTTCAGAAACTCTGATAGGTTTAAAATCTTTACTTTTGCTTATTATAAATTTCTTTTTTTTATTAGGTGTATCAAGTCTGAAGAGAAGTCTCTTGGTGTGGGATTACATGCATTTTGCACAAGAATATTTGGTAGGATGTTATTTTTCCTAGTATGAAACATACTAATAAACTATAAATGAAATAATTCTCTCAGAATAACAGTTTAGGAATATCCCTTCTGTTTATAAGCAATTCTTAATTAGTATTGAGAATGAATTATGTAGGAAGATAGAGAATTTCTCCCTTTCATTTCTCCTATCAAAACTTAATTACACCTCTCTTCAATAATACTTGAGAATAAATAGGAAATATTTTGTTAAAATGAAATGTACACATAATTTTTTCCAAAACATTTCAGAAAATATAATCTACTTTTATTCACTGTTTTATTCTATCAATAATTTTGTTGTATTTTATTTATCATGACTTATTTTTTATAATCTAGAAACTATATTATATATATTACTTATACACTAACAGAAAATTTACAAAGTAAAATTTAGAGCATTTGATTTATATTTTTACACAGTATTTGTTAAATCATATAGGGGAAATTGAAATATTTGCCAAAAAAATAATGTCTCTTAATTCTTAACTTGTTGATGAAGTTTTCTTTTTCTGATAATTATAGCTGGCATTCCAGCACCAATATATTTTGGAGCTTTAGTGGACTCTACCTGTTTACATTGGGGAACTTTGAAATGTGGTAAGCCAGGGGCATGCAGAATATATGATTCAACAAACTTCAGGTAAAGATAATTTACTTTTTAAGTGTACATATTTTTATCATAAATGTTAACTCATTAATTATGCAAATCAATGGGCTTCACTGTGACATTTCAATATATGCATATGTTGTGCTTTAATTTTATCTTCTTTCCCTATTAACCTCTCTTTCCCTCAACCTTCTCTAATAGTCCCCCCACTTTTTTTTTAAAGTTTCCAAGTATGAAACAAAATAGGCTGTACTTGATTTTGTTTCTAGCAGATTTTACTGAACATGATGACCTACAGTTCCATCTATTTTCCTACAAATGACATGATTTCATTTTCATGGCTGAGTAATATTATATTGTGTATATCTCATATTTTTTATCCATTCATCTGTTTATAGACACCTAGCCCAATTCTATAACTTGACTATTTAAATAGGTGAAGATAGGTATGTAAGTCTTTCTTATGTATTCCCAGAAGTGGCATAACCGGATCATATAGTAGTTCTATTTTTAGTTTTTTTAGGAACCTTGTACTGCTGCCATAGTGGTTATACTAGTTTACATTCCCACATTCCCATCAACAGTGTATAAGGGTTCTTTTTTCTCTGTATCAATATTAGAAGTTTTTTTTTCTGATAGCCATTCTGATTGGGGTGAGGTAGAATCTTAATGTAGGTTTGATGTGCATTTCCACAATGACTGAGAATATTGAATGTTTTTTCAACATATTTATTTAGCCATTTGTCTTAACTGTTTGGATTATGTGTTCATTGTTTTTTTCTGGTAATGAGGAATGAACCAAAGGCTGTACACATGGGAGGCAAAGCCCTCCACTGATGAACTATACCCCTGCCCTTTTGTATTTTGAGTTAGTGTCTAATTTAGGTGCCCAGGTAGGCTTTGAGTTTGAGATTTTCCTGCCTCAGTGTCCTATGAGGATGAGATCATGAACATTTGCCTTTTTTTCTTTTTACTGTTACTTTGTCATTTTGATGTTAGTTTTTAAAGTTCATTATATATTCTGAATATTAATTCTTCTCAGATGAATAGCTAGCAAAGATTTTCTTTTATTCTATATGTTGTCTCTTCACTCTGTTTATTCCTTTGCTAGGCAGAAGCTTTTTAATGTAAAATAAATATTTTATTATGTGGTTATGAGAAAGAAGATATAAATTCTTTTAATTGAAATGTAAATAATAGAATCATTACTGTGTTTACATATTGAACAGATAATAAATTTGGCTGCATTTGTCAAAGAAGGTACATTCACCTAGTTTCATTTGCCTCTTTGCAAGGATAAGGATTGAGAGCTTTGAGAGCCAAGAGATTTGTATCTATATTTGTGATAGAAGAAACTCAGGTTGTTAATTACATTAATCTGTTTACTTAATAAACAACTAAAACATCTACCCCTATTTGTTTATTAAGTAAACAGATTAATGTAATTAACAACCTGATAAATTTCTTTTCAAAAAATTCTCTTCTCCAAATGTGAAGAATCAAATACATTATAATACATAAAATGGTTTATTTAAGAGTGCAAAATTGATAATTTGTAGCAAAACTCCAATAATATTTAATATCCACATTTAAATTTTTTTAAAAATTCTAATTTGACAGCAAAATGCATTATACTTCATATTACACATATGGAGTACAATTTTTTAGATATCTAGTTGTATACAAAGTATATTCACACCATTTGTATCTTCATATATGTACTTATGGTAATGATATCCATCTCATTCCATCTTCTTTTCTACTCCATGCCAACCTCCCTTCCCCTCCCACCCCTCTCCCCAATTTAGAGTTCATTTATTCTTCCCATGTTGCTGCTCCCTATCCCACTATGAATCATCCTCCTTATATCAGAGAAAACATTTGGCATTTGGTTTTTTGGGATTGGCTAACTTCACTTAGTATTATATTCTCAAAATTCACCCATTTACCTGCAAATGCCATTATTTTATTCTCTTTTATTGCTGAGTAATATTATTGTGTGTGTATATATATACCACATTTTTTTCCATTCATAAACTGAAGGGCATCTAGGTTGGTTCCACAGTTTAGTCATTGTGAATTGTGCTGTTATAAACATTGATGTGGCTGTGTCTCTGTAGTATGCTGTTTTTAAGTCCTTTGGATATAGACTGAGGAGTGGGATAACTGGGTTAAAAGGTGGTTCTATTCCCAGTTTTCCAAGGAATCTCCATACTGCTTTCCAGATTGGCTGCACCATTTTGCAGTTCTACCAGCAATGTATGAGTGTGCCTTTCTCCCCACATCCTTGCCAACACTTATTGTTATTTGTATTCTTAATAGCTGCCATTCTTACTGCAGTGAGATGAAATATTAGAGTAGTTTTGATTTGCAATTCTCTAATTGCTAGAAATGTTGAACATTTTTTCATATATTTGTTGATTGATTGTATATTACCTTCTGAGAAGTGTCTATTCAGTTCCTTGGTCCATTATTGATTGGGTTATTTGTGTTTTTGGTGTTTAGATTTTTGAATTCTTTATATACCCTAGAGATTAGTGCTATATCTGATGTGCAAGTGGTAAAAATGTGCTCCTAAGCTTTGGGCTCTCTATTCACCTCACTGATTGTTTCTTTTGCTGAGAAGAAGCTTTTTAGTTTGAATCCATTCCATTTATTAATTCTTGATTTTAATTCTTGTACTACAGGAGTCTTATTAAGGAAGTAGCGACCTAATCTGACATGATGGAGATTTGGGCCTATTTTAATTCCTAGGTCCTTGATCCACTCTGAGTTGAGTTTTGCACATGGTGAGAGATAGGGGTTTAATTTCATTTTGTTGAATATGGATTTTTAGTTTTCCTAGTACCATTTGTTGAAGAGGTTATCTTTTCTCCAATGTATGTTTTTGGTACCTTTGTCTAATATAAGATAACCATAATTATGTAGGTTTGTCTCTGTATCCTCTATTCTGTACTAATGGTCTACCAGTCTGTTTTGGTGCCAACACCATATTATTTTTGTTACTAGTGCTCTGTTATATAGTTTAAGGTCTGGAATAGTGATGCTACCTGCTTCACTCTTCTTGCTAAGGATTGCTTTGGGTATTCTGGGTCTCTTATTTTTCCAGATGAATTTCATGACTGATTTTTCTATTTCTATGGGAAATGTCATTGGGATTTTGACTGGAATTGCATTAAACATGTATAATGCTTTTGATAATATGGTCATTTTGACAAAATTAATTCTGCCTATCCAAGAACAAGGAAGATTTTTCCATCTTCTAAGGTCTTTTTTAATTTCTTTCTTTAGCATTCTATAGTTTTCATTGTAAAGGTCTTCCACCTATGTTGTTAGCTTGATTCCCAAGTTTTTTTTTTTTTTGAGGCTATTGTAAATGGAATAATTTTTCTCATTTACCTTTCAGAGGATTTGTCACTGGTATACAGAAATGTCTTTGATTTATGAGTGTTGATTTTGTATCCCAATACTTTGCTGAATTCATTTACTAGTTCTAGAAGTTTTCTTGTGGAATTTTTTTTTTTTTGGTGATCCCACTCAAGTACCAGTACTCCTACGTGGGCGAGTAGTTGGGAGACCTACTCTGATGCTGCAGAAGCTTTTTAATTTGATATAATCCCATTTGTCAATACTTGCTTTTATTTTCTGAGCTATTAGAGCCCTATTCAGGAAATTGTTACCTGTGTCTACATCTTTAAATAGTTTCCTCTATGTTTTTCTCTAGTAGTTTCAAATATTCAGGACTTATATTGAGGTTTCTGACCCATTTTGAATTGGTTTTTGTATAGAGGGATATAGTTGGAATCTTCTACATGTGGATGTCTAGTTTTCTCAGCATTATTGCTAAAGAGGCTGTCTATTCTTCAATGTATTTTGATGCCAGTTTTGAGAACCACAAAGTCATAGATGCATGGGTTTATTTATAGGTCCTCTAATGCATTCCCTTGGTGCATTGGTGTTTTTATTACTGTCTCTCTGTAGTGTATTTTGAAATTGATTATTGTGATGTCACCAGCATTGCTGTTTTTGCTCAGGATTGCTTTGGCTATTTGTAATCTTTTTTGCTTTCATTTGAATTTTAGGATTATTTTTTCTAGTTCTTCAAAGAATGACCAGCTGCACTTCCAATTTGATATTTTGATGGAGATTGCATTTAATCTGTAGATTTCTTTTAGCAGTATGGCAGTTTTGGAGATGTTAATTCTCCCAATCTATGAACATGGAGATCTTTTCGTCTTCTTGTGTCTTCTTCCATTTCATTCTTCAGTGTTTGATAATTTTCATTGTAGAGTTCTTTTGCTTCCTTGATTAAGTTTATTCCTAGATTTTTTTTAGGCTATTGTTCATGGGGTTGTTTTACTGATTTCTTTCTCAGTGAGTTATTTATTGCTGTATAGAAAACCCACTAATTTTGTATGTTAATTTTGTAGCCTGCTACTTTGCTGAATTTGTTTATCAGTTTTAAGTTTTTGGTGGGATCTTTAAGTACCTTCTAAGTATAGAATCATGTCATCTATAAACAGGGGTTATTTCACCTTTTTCTTTTCTATTTATATCTCTGTTATTTCTTTTTCTTGCCTGATTGCTCTGAAAAAAATTTCAAATATTATATTGAATAGGTGTGGTGAGAGTGGATACATTGTCTCATTTCTTATTTGGGGAGAGATGCTTTATTTTTCCCCATGCAGAGTGATGTTGGCTATGGCTTTGTCATATGGAGCCATTATGTTTAGTTGTGATCCTTCTTTACCTAGTTTGTTCAGGACTTATCATGAATGGATGTTGAATTTTCTCAAAGACTTTTTCTGCATCTGTTGAGATGTTAGTGTGGTTTTTATCTTTGATTGTATTTAAATGATATATTGCATATAATGACTTATGTGTATTAAATCATCCTTGAATCTCTGGAATGAAACCAGTTTTATCATAGTGTATGATCTTTTAAATAGATTGTTGAACTTGATTTCTAAGTATGTTACTGAGGATATTTAAATCTATGTTTATCAAGGATATTTGTCCCGAGTTTTCTTTTTCTGTGTGTTCTTATTAGGATTTGATAGCAGAGTAATACTGGCTTTATAGAATGAGTTGGAAGGGATCCTTTTATTTCCATTTTAAAGAACAGTTTGAGGAGCATTAATGTTGGTTCTTTAAAAATCTGGCAAAATTCGGCAAGAATTCAACCAGTCTTCTGATTTTTCTTTTTTGGGGGAAACATTATTATTACTAATTCAGTCTCATAGCTTGTTGTTGATATTTTTAGGTTTTTAGTATCCTCTTGATTCAATTTGGTAGGTCATATGTACATAGAAATTCGTCAATTTCTATTTTCTATTTTATTGGAATATGTTCTTTCAAAATATTTTCTCATAATAATCTGTACTTTAGTGATATCTGTTATAATATCCCTGTTTGTATCTAATTTTTTTTATTTTGGTCTTCTCTCTCTTTTGATTACTTTGGCTAAGAGTTTGTAGAACTTATTTACTTATTTATTTATTTTAAAAACCATCATTTTGTTTCATTGATCCTTTGTATTGTTATATTTTATTTAGTTTATCTCTGATTTTTACTATTTCTTTCCTTCTATTATATTTGGTTTTGCTTTATTCTTGTTTTCTAGGACCTTAAGGTTGCATTATTAGCTTATTTATTTGAAAAAGATCTCAGTTGTTTGTTTTTTAAGTAGGCAGCCATAGCTAAAAATTTCTCTCTTGGTACTATTTTAATTTTATTCCACATATTCTGATATGTTGTGTTTCCATTTTTGTTCAATTCTAGGAAGTTCAGAATTTCCCCAGATTTCTTCAGTGGCTTGTTTTTGTTTGGTTTGTTTTTTGTTTAAAAGCCTATTCTTTAATCTCCATGTCTTAGTACAGTTTCTTTTTTTTTATTATTGGTTGTTCAAGACATTACAATGCTCTTGACATATCATATTTCATACATTTGATTCAAATGGGTTATGAACTCCCATTTTTACCATGTGTACAGATTGTAGAATCACATTGGTTACACATCCACGTTTATACATACTGCCATACTAGTCTGTTGTATTTTGCTGCCTTTCCTATCCCCTTCCTATCCCCCATCCCCTCTCCTCCCCTCCCATCTTCTCTCTCTACCCCATCTACTGTAATTTATGTCTCTTTATATTAATATGAGGCTTATCCTAATATTATATGGAAAGTTGAAGGAAATTATTTTTGTTTTTTGTTTGTTTTTGTATTTGTTAAGACTTGCCCTATGGTATAAAATGATATACTTTGGAAAATCTTTGCCATAGTGAGGTGAGTTTCTTGTAGAAAAACAAAATTGTTGGATCTTTGTTCTTAATATAATCAGCCAGCCTGCATCTTTTAACTGGAGAATTAAGACCATTTACAATCAAGATTATTTTAAAAAGGTATGTACTAATTCCCGTCATTTTGTTGTTTTTCTTCTGGTTGTTTTGAATACCATATGTTCATTTCTTTCTTCTACATCCATCTTAATAGTTTTAATGGTTTATTGAGTTAATGATGTTTATTTCCTAATTCTCATTTGTTTTTCTACTCTTCTAGAGTAGAAAATAATTATCCTAGTGAGATTTATTCTTTTATGTGCTTTTGTGATTGTGTTTATCATGCTTTATCTTCTGAGTACAGAATTCCTTTAAGTACATTCTGTAATACTAGTTTAGTGGTCATGAAGTTATTTAGTTAATGCTGATTTTGGAAGATCTTTATTTAGTTTTTACTATTTAAATTATTTAAATAATTATTTAAATAATAATTATTATATTATTTAAATTATTATTTATTATTATTATTAAAATTATTCTGAAGAACAATTTTGCTTGATGCAGTAGTCTAGGATAGAAGTTATTTTCTTTTAGACTTGCTATATATCATCCCGTGTCTTCTTGGCTTTTAAAGTTTCTGTTGAGAAATCTATTATTCTGATGGGTTTGCCTTCATACATGACCTGGAACTTCTCTCTTGCAGCTTTCAATATTCTTTTTTGTTTTGTATTTTGGGCAGTTTAATTATGTTTTATTGTGAAGAGGTTCTTTTCTCATCATGTCTATGTAGGTTTCTAGATGTCTCCTGTTCCCAGGCATCCATATCCATCCCAAGATTTCAGAAATTTTCTATTATTTCACTGAATAAATTGTTTATGTCTTTAGCTTTTACCTCTGCTCCTTTATCTGTACATGGGATCGGTACATTTTGGTCTTTTTTTTTTGTGTGGGGGCAGGGGCAGGTACTGGGGATTGCATTCAGGGACACTCAACCACTGAGCCACATCCCCAGCCCTATTTCATATTTTATTTAGAGACAGAGTCTCACTGAGTTGCTTAGTGCTTTGCTGTTGCTGAGTCTGGCTTTGAACTTGAGATCCTTCTGCCTCAGCCTCCCAAACCACTGGGATTACAGGCATGCACCATCACACCATCTACATTTGGTCTTTTATTCGTGACCCATAGGTTTTCTATGTCCTGTTCATTCTTATTTTTTTTTCCTGATTACTGTCTGAATGTATAATTCATCAAGTTTATCTTCAAGTCTTAATATTTTTTTATATCACTTTATCTAGTCTGTTGTTGAGGTTTTCAGCTAAATTTTTTATTTGGCTTGTGATGCTTTACATTTTTAAGATTTATGGGTTTTATTTTGTTTCAGAATCTCTGTCTCTTTTTAAAATTGCTCTTCATATTCTTCATTTTCTTCCTTAACTCATTAAACTGTTTATTGATATCTTCTTTAAATTTAATGATCATTTTAACATCATTTTAAAAATTCTCTGCCATTTCCTATACTTCAGTATCTTTAGAATCAGTTATTCAAGAGTTATCAGATTTTGGAGAAGTCATGATGTCTCATTTTCTTGTGTTTCATTTATATATAAGTTAATATTTGCCTATCTATTGGGATTTATGTATCTTCTATTTTTATGTGAAGGCCTTCTTAGAGAATAGCCTTCAGTTAATTATGTGCCCTAGGCTATCAGTTTGTTGGGTACTATTGAATTTTATTACAAATGTATTTAGTAGTATAGTTTTCCCATGGCTTAGCTGGTTGTGATTGGTGATTTTGGATACAGTGCATACTATTCGAACTTGAAGGACCTGCTTCCTCTGTAGGTCTTGAAAGAATAGGGGTCCCCCCATAATTTAGGCTGGTGTATTGTAGATAGCATAGTATACTAGGTGCACCTTCTGTGGTAATTCTTCCTGTCTTGTCAACAATGTGGTATCCACAGTAATTGTGTCATTATTCTCTGTCTGTTGCTATGGGATTGAGTTTTCAAAAGTGGGACCTCAGAACCCTTCTTTTATGAATACAGAAGGCTGAGTTATTGTTGGGGGATGGGGGCTTCTGTCTCTTCAGGCCATTTATTTATTTATCCTAATTTAAAGCATTCATTAAGGTTTGAATGAGACTAGGTCATGGTTGGAGTTTCTCTCAACTATGCTCAGAGAGTATCTCAGAGACAAAGCCACCACCCACATGCTTGGGGTGCCATGCTTGAGTCAGAGCTCCACTCACAAAGAAGAAAAAAACAATAATAATACCCACAATATAAAAACAAACCAAATATCAAAATACAGTAACAATAAATTGAAAACAACTGCAACATCAGTAGTAATAGAAAAGAACGGGACAAATATACTACAGAATAAACTGAAAAGTTAAAATAAAAAGCAAAATTCAAAAAGAAGGAAAATTAGAGAGTAGAAGAGAAAGAGAAATCCTATTTAATATAATAAAAATAAGATTAAAAGGTCGTGAAAAACAGCAAAATAATTTAATATAGAATAGACAGAGGGGAAAATATGAGTCAAAAATTCTTCCTAGCAGAGATGTGTGTTTGGATTTGAGAACTTATTTCTAGACATGTGCATACCGTCTCCAGAGGCCCTTATCCTGCATGCCTGGTGATATGGTTGATTCCTGAGCCACAGAAAACCTTTCTTATTAGCTGAGCTTTTTGGCATTATATGGGCCATGCCAGATGGTTATATATTTAGCCCCATGGATTACAATCTTTGCTCCTAGCTGCATGGAAAATGTCCAAGGCTGGTGCACATCCAGGATGCTTCAGAGTGTGGGGGGAATAGTCAAACCAGCAAGTTCTACACTGGAGATGGAGCCACAGAAATTGAGCAGTTTGCCACAATTGGTCTCAGCACTCTCAGACCTCATTCCTTCATGACACTACTTATGACCTGATAAAAAAATACCCCAAGAGTGTATATCATGATTAATGATGATTCTATGAAAGTATTCTTATTAAATACTAGAATAAAACTGCTATTACTCTGAGTATTACATTTAAGTTGGAGGTTTTATTAAATGTGAAAAATAATAATGAAAATAAAAAATGGTAGATATGAAGAAAATAAATTTGGAGTTTCTGCATAGAAAATTAAAAAAACATAAGCACTGGAATTAATGTTGGCAAAATTGCTTATATAAGATTGACATGCAAAACAATTTCTATTTTTAGGGTAATAAAATATCTATAATTATAAACAAACTTAGTTTGAACTAATCACATTGTCTGTGTAAGATTTAATATTAATTAATATTTTTTTAAATAGACACATCTACCTTGGATTGCCAGCAGCACTAAGAGGATTAAGTTTTATTCCTGCCTTTTTGATCCTTATTCTTTTGAGAAAGCGTCATCTACCTGGTGAAAATGACCTTTCAGGAACTGAGCTTGCAGTGACGAAGATTACAGAGAAAGAAAAAGAGTGCAAAGATGTTCAACAAAATTCCAAGGTTTTGAATGATGAAGAAATGAAAACTAAACTATAGTGTCCAATTCTATCAGCCTTCCCAGAGGTGGAAAACACAGTATAAAACTTAATTGTTTAAAAATCATTAGAGGTACTGCAGGTAACTTTTCTTATCTTTAAGAACTTGCTCATGGTGAAAGTGTTCACTATATGTCTGAAGTATCAGAACAGCACTTGAGATGTTTTAGGGGAGACATTTATGACAACCACTAAACAGGATTTTAAAGCCACCTTTACTTTTTATGTTAAAGCAACAATTTCTCTTTTAACTCATTCAAAGAAAGGGTCTGTTTTCTACATCTCCTTTTCCAAATAGTTCTAAAATTTTTCTATTCTAAAAATCTATTTAATGATATCAAATTTGTATATTGGGGTTATTCAGAGACTGAGATTTTTATCCTTTCATGTGAACTTGAAATATTTTATTCACATTGATTACTTTCATGTGAAGTAAACCTACAACTTTTTAGTATATTTAGTAATTGTTCTTTGATATTTCTATTCATTCCAGATATGGATTTTCAAAGTAGATTGCTCATTACTATGTCATCTTTTGTTATCAATTCTCTTCTTTATTACTCATGTCATATATTTGCTCATTTTGTTGAAAATACTGACAAACGTAATCAGGTTATTAAAAATTGTGTAGTGAAGATGGTTGGAATTTTTTTCAGCAATTTAAATCCAACAACTCAAGTCTTTTTAAAAATAAGTATCTGAATGAAAAGATAGAAGGACATTATGAGAAAATAGCTCTTACAGACCACTTTAGTACCAGATATTGTCAAAGGACTATTTTCCCAGGTTCAGGAGGCTTTTGTAGATCAATGTTTGTTATTGATTGGATCCTAAGTTAGAACACAAACATTAATTTCCAAAACTTATCTGGGAGAATGATACTTTTGAAAGTAGCTTCTTTTATGAAACTGAAGTCAATAAAATTCAACATATCCATGAAAAACTAAACCTCTTCATATTATTTTTAATTTATAAGTAAACATAATGAAAAGATTTTAGAGGTACATGAAGACTTTTTAGTAATATAGGGCTCTGGTTCAAAACAGTAAATGAACATATTCGTCTACTCCTCATTCTGCCTCCATTTTAAATGAAAGTCAAAATCCCTAATGGTAGAGAGATTGTAGGAAAGAAGGTGGGAGAAGTGGGTGTCAATACACTGTGATCATTTGTGTTGAATATAAAGGAAATGAGAGTGTCCATAAGAAATAGAGTGGAAGAAGTTATAGGAATTTTAAATACACTTAGGAGGAAACTGGAACTTAGGTAGGAGATTCTGAGTTGGTAACTGGACAGTGTGTTATTATAAGAAATATATAGGTGCCTGTTACTATAACAAATATCTAGGATAAACCAACTTAAAATGTTGGAAAATTTGATTCACAGAATCAGGAGTTTCAGTCAACTGATGCTATTGTTATGGGTCTGTGGCAAGGGAACACCTCAGGAACCATGTTGAAAAGAAGCTACTTACCTTGTGTTATCTAGGAAACAAAGAGACGGAAGGGTTTAGGGTCCTAATAGCTCCTCCAAGGGTACAACTCCAATGACCTAACTTCCTCCCACTAGGCCCCACCTCCTGAAGGTTCTGCCACTTAATATTATCAAACTCAGGACCAAGTTTTTAACACATCAGTCTTTGGGGGACACTCCAGATCCAAACTACAGCAGAAAACAAGCCTCTTAATTGAAGGGATTTCTACAGAATTTTGTAGATCAATATGACTTCTTAAATGAGTGTGTCCTTTAAAAAGAAAGAAACTTAGATGACAAAGACTGGGTAGAACAGGTTAAAAGTTAAATTTTAAGCTTGTGATTTTTTTCAGACTTCACACACCTGATGTATAAAAGTATCTGAGATTCAAGACAGAAATAGTGTTGAAATATGAGAGAGGATGTAAAATTTATGGATAAGAGGTGTATAATTTTGGAGTTTGTATGACTACAGAAGTGAAGGGTACTATTACAGGCTTATGACATGAATGGCTTTTTTGTTTTTGTAAGTGGGAAAAATAGTCTGGAAGCTGAAATGAAGAGCAAGGACTTTTACCCTGTATCTAGATAGTTGTGAGAAAAAGTAAATAACACTTGCATGAGAAGGTTTTGAGGGGAACAAATTTTTCTTAGATGCGCACTGGTGAAGAGAATGTTCATTCAGGAGTTTGAGTATAAACAGGACTGTGAGATCCTGAGAACACAGTGTAAAAAGTGAGTGAGTACTTAGAATTCTGGGGTTTCTTAGTTGAGTTACATGAACGGGAACAAAGAATAAAAATGAGATTAGTTCTGATGGATTCAAGGCAGATAGTGTTGATGACAATGTGAGGGTCAAAATTAGGAGGAGTGGCACCTAGGTCCCCTCATGACCCTTCATCATGGAGGCAAACTAAAGAAAAAGAAATTTATTGGGAACACCTTGATCCCTATTGAGAGGTTTGACATGATCAAAGAAAGCTGAGTCTTACTGTGCTCACAGTTTACCCATTTGAATTTCTTCACTAGAGCATTATAGCTCAGAGAGACATGGATCTAGACCTAGTGCTTTGGGTTCACTCCTAACCCCTCATGGGGGAGATAGTATTTCATGAGGGAGATAGCACAGGGTCCTCCCCTGACACTAGTTTGACATTTCTCCCTTGATGGGAGCAAGCAGACCAGAGAGAGTGGGTGTTGGAGTGCATGGAGGTCTCTCACGACCTTTGTTGTGGCATCTCTGAGGCCTCAGAAGTTCTTATCCTGAAAACTGGCATTATCCCATAAGAACAGAGATTATGTCACAGCAGACATATTTGTAGAAAACTACAAGAGAACAGGCCATGAGAAGTCTAGGGCTATAATTTTCTTATCTAATATTGTAGAGAAATCTAAAGTTAAATAGTATTAGAAGTAGTACTTTATCTATCTATCATCTTTCTATTATCTATTGGTACTAAGGACTGAATTTAGGGGTGCTTTATCACTGGGCTACATCCCTAGCCCTTTTCATTTTTTTTAATTTTATTTTGGGGGAAGTGTCTCACTAAATTGCTGAGGCTAACCTTGAACTGGCAATCCTCCTGCTCAGCATCCCATGTCTCTGAGATTATAGGTATGTTTGACCGTGCCTGACTAATGTATGATATATAATTCTAAATGTAACCAATATTTACAGGATCTTAAAAAATTAACTTTGAAAATCAAAAGTTGGGGAAAGAAATACAAAAGGAAGAAGAAGGAATAACCATTCCTCATAGTTATAACATAGATTTAAATGTTTCTTGACAAATTAAAATTTAATGGGTACACATATTAACATTATGAAGCTCACTAGCAGAGGAATTAAAAACAAGACTACTTAAAAGAGATGTCTCTGGGGCATTGGACTCATTATGAGGAGGGTCAAAGAATAAGGCATTTATCTTTCAATTTTAGTTTCCTATATGTTCTTTGAGGTTTTGAAATAATATTTCATAAAAAGTACACATAGTTAAAACAATAATAATAAAATGAAACTGGGTTTCCAAATTATTAGATTTTGAGGATCTCCAATGAGTGTTTATGGAACAATTACTTTCTCATTTCTCTACATGGATATATAGAGGATGTGTGTTTTAATGGTGTATACCTGAGGAAGGTAGTAACCAAGTTATAGGCAATAAAGTTCAAGTACAATTCAAGTTGGTGTCATTTCATTAGAGTCAATAAATATACAATGAAAACAGTTACAAAAAAGTACTAGGTAATTTCATACACTATGGATATGTGGTGATTTCCTGCTTTTGCATAAGCTACCAATGCAAGTGTTGATGGGAGATGATGGAGAGAAAGAAAAAACTCCAATTCTTATTGAGGGAATAACAGAACCAAATACAACAATGTTTTCTTTGCTGGTGACTGTAGTTGTAGTGAGTGTAGTTTAAGCCAATGAGATATTGGCAGAGGTTTGCAAATGGTTCTGATCGAAAAAGACTAAGCTTTCTGAAGAGACATTTTGCCCTGTTTCCTTCTTCCTTCCTGAACTGTGGATGTTAACCTTTTAGAAGCAGAAGGCATTTTGCACACCAGAGGCAATAAGTACAGGTATGAAAGAACAACATGAAGGATGGGGTAGCAGGAAGACAGCTGGAGGCTGGACACCCAGTGCAGGGCTAAGCACCTGCATCAAGGCAGTACTAACTATTACACCATTTTACGTTTATAAAATTTGAAGAGAGAACTTACATAAGAAAAAAAATTGAAAATTATGAATACATATGGGGTTAAAAAGTAAATATTAACTTAGAATGAGAAAAAATATAACAAATTCCATGTGATATGTTTCAGGACACAATCATGACCACCACACCAAACCAAAACAAAACAAAAAAACCTACACCACACTTAGGCTCTATTAGGAGCTTTGCTGTTGATATCAGGAGTGAGAAGACAGTAGCTGCTATACCATTTCCAATCTACCTTATATTGTATGTCCTAGTCAGGAACCAAGAGAAAAAAGGATTAAAATTAGTGAGGATTAAAAAAAAAAGTAAAATATCAGTGGCATTACAGTTTGAGTATGTAAAAAAATCCAAAAGTTGCTACAGATAAACTATCACAATTAGTAAGTTAATTTTAACAAGTTAACTAGCTACAAAGGCATACAAAATCAAATGTATTTTTGTCATATATCAATACTTAGAAAATGATACTAGTAAATCATAGTTATGTAGCATAAAACGCACACACGGGTTCCTCCTTCCAGCGTTCAGAGCGGAGGGCGGCAAGGCTGGTGTCGCCGCCCGGTGAGTGGGGCGCTCTGGCTACTGCATCTACTTCGACCGCAAAAGGTGGAGCGACCTTAACTTCAAGAACAGGCGTCGGGAACCAAGAAAGAAGCAGAAGCTTGCCAAGGAGAGAGCTAGGCTTTCCAAGTTACCGGACCTTAAAGATGCTGAAGCTGTTCAGAAGTCCTTCCTTGAGGAAATACAACTCGGCAAAGAGCTGCTAGCCCAGGGTGAGTCTGAGAAAGGTGTGGACCATCTGACAAACGCAGCTGCTGTTCGTGGACAGCCACAGCAGTGGCTGCAAGTGTTACAGAAAACTCTTCCACCACCAAGTGTTCCAGATGCTTCTGACTAAGCTCCCAACAATTAGAGAATTGTGAGTGCTTGGCTGAAGATGATGTGGAATGAGAAACGAATGACAACATAATAAAATCTCAGATAAAAAAATGTTAAAAATTCTTAACTTGGAAAGATGAGCAGCTCTGGGGGAATAAGGGCAAATGTGTTTGTTATAGACTGCCCTATACTGAAGTCTATCAAAGTTGTTATTTGCTTTGTGGAGATCCATTCATTTGTTTTATTTATTTTTCCTAGTGAAAATTGTATTTTGATAGAGCTTTTCATTTTATAAATACACTATAAGTTACTAAAATATCACAGATTGCATGTATTCCTAAGACATGCAGTTAAAGTGTATGCATGACATAGGTTTCTTGGGCTAAAAATAGCCAATTCTCAGTTTTAAAAGTTAGGCAAAAAAGTGTGAAGAGTGCACATTTTTTAAGCTAGTACATTTTACCATAAATCAGCAAATTGGATAGAAACTTTATTGTTTGAGAAAATGGAGCATTAAATCTTTGAGAGTTCATTTCATCTCTGAAATGTGAGGCGTGCTACTGTGCTGTGTTAACTTTACCTCCTACCTCTGTATCAGTCCTAAAATCTTTTATTTAAATTAGTGGGCTTCTGTCTTCTGGGTATTGTATCCTTATTTTAAGTATATGGGGTTGCAGATGGCACCAAGAGTTAGATCTGTGTGCACCTGATGTCACCACATGAGCTTTGTCAGTTTGTGTCTGCTCACTTTCCCCATTCATAGAAAGAGAGAACTGGTCTGCTGATCCCTCAAGTGTCCCTTTCTGTTTGCAATTCACTTGAGTGTATTTGTGCATCCAGGCCTTGCATTTTTTTAATATTCTGAATTTT